GTAATTATAATATTATGATTATTATCATATATAAACCTGTAAGTATTATTTTTTAGGAAAAATTATTATATACAGTTCATTGAGTTCTCAAAGAAGGAAGCTATCATTCTGTAATACTGATTCCAAAGTCACCACATTTACTGCAGTATAGAGTAAGGTGGCAGGTGTTCGCTCTAGGTTCAGAATATCTGAGCTGAAATCCTGGTGGCACCGCCCATTAGCTGGATGACCTCAGGCAAACTGTTTAGCCTTTTTAGGTCATAATCCATCCTCTGTAATATGAGCTCAATAATAGCATCTATCAGACAGGTTATGAAGATGAAATGAAAAAATTACATAAAATGTATAGCCTTTACTTTGGTCTTATAAGAATACAAAATGAGTAAATATTAACTTTATACTAACCATACCATTTTACAATCGTATCAATCATAGTAGATAACAGGACTGCTAAGCTTTTCGACTCTATTCAACAAACTTCTTACTCAAGAAACTCAAAAAACTGATTTTCAGTTTTACAATGCGATTTACATCTATTACATATAACTTCAAGATCTGTGTGTTTCTATACTGTATGTGTATACATAGGCACACGTACATAAAATTATTTGCATATGTATTTCTGTCAGAGGATCTCACCAGGATGGACCCTGGTGGTCTTTAGAGGACCCTCCATTCTGTCTGCCATGGCGGCCGCACTGACTTGCAGTACCAACAGGGCACAAGGGCTCCTTTTTCTCCAGTCCTTCCCAGCATTTGTTATTTCTCACTTTTTTGATGATAGCAATTCTATCAGGCATGAAGTGGTACTCCACTGTGGTTTTACTTCACATTTCTCTAATGACTAGTGACACTGAGCATCTTTTCCTATATGTGAGCAGATATGAAATATATGGAGTGCCTTTCAAGTCAGGATTTTTTTGGGGGGGCTGTTTCATTTTACAACAATTAATCTTACAAAACACCTCAAAGAATGGGTACAAAACTCAACTTAGTTTTAACAAAGGTAATAAAATGTGTGTATGTTCTAAATAAGTTAAGGATAATCAGGATAAGTCAGGACAGCACATTTAAGAAGGCAAAATAAATTACCACAAATCAAATAGCTATGAGAAAATACAGCAAATAAAGGAGATAAAAATGATGGATAGAAATCCAAGTAAATGCTGAGATGTGTATTTAAAAAGCCTAAAACAAGTGCAAAGATATAAGCAGAACATGTAGTAGCTACGATTATATTAATAATAAATCAGACATATTTGATTATCATTTCTTACTCTGAGTTTCATAATGTAAAAGAAATAAGAAAATTTGGAAATTGTTTAGAGAGAAGTGTAAAAAGACAATAAGGATTAGAAAAGAAGACTTCTGAGGAATAATATTGTAAGCAGCCATTTTTAGGATGAAGTAAGATTCTTATTAATCTATGCATAGCCTTGATTTTGTGGATAGTGGTAACTTACAACTGCAATGAAAGGTGTGTAAGAAGAAAGTCTTACATAGCAAAGTAGAAAATTCTGACAGAGCAGATCAAAAAATCGGATTTGACTGTCAAGGACAATTGTGTAATTGCCAGCTTCTAAAGATGGGATTCTCATTTGGCTAATGTACATCTTGTCTTGCCTGAAGGAAGCGGAATAAACTGCATGTCATAAAAAGATACCTTGTACTTTCATAAAGGGTAACAAAATAGAGATCAGGCCAGGAAATCAGGTTCTAGTATTAATTACATAACTTAAGTAACCATATGTTATGATTGCAAGTAAAATTTACTTTATGAAGACTGGATATATGAAAAAGAAGTAGTAGAAGTAGAGGTCTTTGCTCATTACTCAGAATCTGAACTAATTAGAAACCTTACATTAATTACAAGTTCAGTTAAGAATGGACCATGGGTTTGAGACAGTAATTTAATCATTCATTTGTATTTCCTAAATGATTCTTGAAAGATAATGGCTAACCTACCCTTTTCAAAGTATTCCTAGTAGAATTCCAGGGGTTCCTTAATACAATCTACAGCTTCCAGGTTGCAAATACACCAAAGTCACAAAAACTTAATGAAATAGGGATAAGGTCATTATATTTGTGACAGACCCAAAGGGCACAGGAACGCAGAGGCAGACAGGTTATAAGGGAAGTTAACCATAGACCTGCTAAAAGACTAGCTTTCCAAAATCGTCTCTCTGAAAATAAGTTTAACAAGACATGTGTTCCTGGAAAAAAATATGAAGACCTTCTTTCTTACTTTGTGGTTGTCTAAGGTTATAAAATTACAATTCAGAAGAAATACTTTGTGCATATTAAGTCATTTGAAATTATGACATACGCAGCATTCCAATTTTAGTCAAGCCACTGTGCTAGGAATTATGGGATATAAAAATACGGATATCCTGAATATTTTTAAAGTATGTATGGCTCTGATATTACATAATTTTTTAGCAACCCATGCTGCCTATAGAGCGTTTAGTAACTCTGTTAACTACTCCTCAGTTCTTGCTGAGAGTACACTGCTAAATCTAGAGAGTGAAATCAATAAACAGGAGTGCCTACATTGTGGAGTATTAATGTTGGAACACATAATAAATTCTCAGAGCTATCTTCCCTTAAATGTTTATAGTTGAGGAGTTGGTGAGTTTCAGGAAGCACTTCTGTAGTAGACATCTTTTTCAAGGCAAATGCCACGAACTCTCTTGTCAATCAATTTAGTAATAACTATAATTCAAAAAGATGCAAGGCCTTAGTCACTTACTCAAAAGGGGAGAGATACGCATAAAACCTCAGCAGATGGAGTCCTCAACTTACAACATAATGCCACTGGTGTATTTCCTTTCTACTTGTTCTATTTGAACTAAATGTTCACAAATGGGCTATGGACAATGAACACACATCTTTTAGAATGATATGGGTCATGTTCTGGCAATTTTCAGGTGTTGTAAAGAGAAAATAAATTGCAGTCATATCTTAATTCTTCTTAAAGAACCTAAAGCTTTCACCTTTCTATTTCATAATTTTCTTTCTCTCTTTCCCTTCTCTTCTTTCCCTAGGTGACCTGTCAGAACTGAGCACTTAAATATACCACTGTATGAACCAGCCTGATGGTAATTCATTAAATCTGTGACTCTCTGCAGACATGTTTTAAAATGCTCATTTACAACTTAAAGAGAAACCATCTTTCAAAATATTACCAAAATACTAAGTTCACTACCTTGGTTTTTTATATTTTGTTTGCAGCTCTATTTTTAGATTTATTGAAGTATAAGTGAAAGATTGCCCATATTTAAAGCATACGATTTGGTGAATTTTGACATATGTATACCTCTATGGAACCAGCAGCACAATCAAGATCATATGCCCTTCCATCACTCCCAAATTTTGTAATCCATTGCATCTCACTTCCACTCCCCACTTCCATCCCAAATAACCACAGATCTACTTCTGTCATATGGCTTATTTTGCATTTTCTAGACTTTCATATAAATGGAACCACACTTTTGTACTCTTTTTTTTGTCTGTGTTCTTCTACTCAACATAATTGTTTTCAGGTTCAGTCATGTCATTACATGCAGCAATGCTGTCAAAGTTTGTTCTTTATATCGCCGAGTAGTATTCTGCCTGGCCTGGATATATCACAGTTTGTTTATCCTTCCACCTGCAGATGGGTATATGAGTTGTTTCTAGTTTGGATCTGTTATAAAAAAAGGGATCTATGAATGTTCATTTACAAATCTTTGTATGGACATATACTTTCTAAGAAAGTGTCAAACAATTTTGCGAAGTGTTTTTACCACATTACATTTGCACTGACAGAATATTAGTATTCCAGTTGTTGCACATCTCTGCCAGACTTGGTATTGTCACATTTGAAAGTTTTATTTTAGTATTTTTAATAGGTAAGTAGTGGTATTTCTCACTGTGGCTTTAATTTGTATTTCCCTAATGACCAATGATATCGATCATATTTTCATGTGCTTATGTGCCATTCTTCGTCTATTTGATTTTTCCAAAATATTGTTAATTCATAGAAGAGTAGTCTCTTCAGATAATAATGCCAGCACATGTAGATATCAAAATGTGAAAAAAACCCTTCAAACTATATACCTTGAGCCATGTACAAAAAAAACCCCTCAAAACAGATATATGCTCAAATATTAAAACTAAAAGTATAAAATATCTAGATGGAAAACTTGTGACCAGAGGTCTGACCAATATTTCTAGGCTGTAAGAGTAAAAGCACAAGTCATAAAACAATACAGTAGTAAACTATACTTTATCAAACTTTAAAACTTCTGCTCTTCAAAAGATATTATTATAAGAAAGAAAAGTCACAAAAATGAGAGGAAAATATTTGCAAAGCATATATATAAATATGTATATGTATATAGTATATGTACTATATGAAATACTCAGAATATTTGAACAGACACTTCAGCAAAGATGATATACAAATGACGAATATATGAAAAGATAATTAATATCACTATCCACTAGAGAAATGCAAATTTTGTTTTAAAACCACAGTGGAATACCCATACATACCTATTAGAATGGCTACAATTAGAAAGACAGGTTATAGTAGTACTGATATAGCTGTGGAGCAAATACAACTCTTAAATCTCTGCTGATGGAGAATATGAAATGGTACAGCCAATTTAGAAAACAGTTTAGTCAGGAGAAATACAAGTATATATCTATGCATAGTTCTGTACATGAATGTATTTACCAGCTTTCCTTGCAGTGTCATGTTTTTTAAAACAACCCAACTGTCCATCATTAGGTGAATGGATAAACACTGTGTGTTTTCACTATTCTAGTGGACGCACCAAAGTGTAAAATAGCCACTGTTAAATTGCAGGCATAATACTTAAGACCTGGAGGGAATATTTTATAGGGAGGGCCTGTATATCGCCCTATATCATTTAAGTGATGAATTAGGGTTATATAAAGTAAAAGCATCATTTCTTCTCTATTATAAAAGAAAATAATAATATTAAGCATCTTACCTATATATTTATATCCTTCTTCCCCATTCACTATGGGTCTCAGCCAAGTTGATCGAACTTGTACATTACTACGCACATGGGCACCTTGAGGAGGATAGAACGTAAACAACATTTCAATTGCATTGGACTTCTTGATGATTTCAGAATATTTTACAGCGTCTTCTGTAGAAAGAAAAAGAACATTTAAACATTTTTAAATTTTAGACATTTTTACAAAATGTCTAACTTTTTAAGGGACAAAAATAATTTCATCCCTTATTCTAATAATTTCAATGCTAATGGCTAAATTGACAATGGATTTTCTTTATCTAAAGGTACTTCACCAACAATCTTACTGTTCAGATAATTTTTAACAAAAATTAAGAGTAAGGGATTTACTAACATCATCTTCCGACATTATCAGTTTAAAGCAGTGTTGTCAATAGCTATAGAAAAAGTAAGATAATCAGTGAATAGCATTCATATTATACATACTATAATGTTCCTACATATTTTAATTGTTATTTGACAGTGAAATTCTACAAAAATGTTTAGTAAATTGAAGTTTCACAAAGTGGAACTACTGAAAAAATAAGCATTCCTACAATATGATATTTAACAAAATATAATAATACATATACAGATATTTATATACCACTTATGTGCAAGAAATTATTCCAAGTGCTCTAAGCATTAATGCATTTAACTTTCATAATACATCTATAAGATAGAGGCTATCATTATTTCCATTTTACTTGAAGAATTTGAAGCCTAGAGAAATTAAATAACTTGCCTAAATGTTGAAGTCTACAAGTGATGCCATTAGGATTTAGATACTTTAAGGAAGTTCTTTTTTTTCAAACAAATGCTGTCAAACCAATATGACCTGCATTGACTAGCAGATGGGAAAACTGGAATTAAAAAATAATTTGAATTGTAGAGTGAAAAATCTCTGGTTATGCCTCCTGGACCTCCAGTTTGTAATTTCAGCCTTTCAGTCGATAAATCAGTGTCCTAAGCCTCAAAAAGGCCATCTCCTGGGTGATAAATTCTGTGACTCTACCCAGAAACATTTCAAAGAAAAGAGAAATACTGATATAAATCTCCATTTATAACCGTTACATTTTCTTTTTTCTTCTTAATTCCTTTCCTTTCCTTCCTTCATGCCTTCCTCTCTCCCCCTCCCTTCCTTCTTTCCTATTTTTCTTTATAAATTTTATTAAATATCATATTCTGTGGCATAATAAGTATAAAGCAGGATGACATATGATTAAAGATTAAGAAAGTAAATTTTTGGTGAGCAGTGTGCCAGGAATCAGTCTATTGCCTCACTCCAAGTCTCGTCTTCAGTGCCCTGTTTGTGAGACTAAAACACTTCTCCCTTGCCACATGGCACCATTTTAAGCATTTTCCATAAAGGGCAATGGAGGGAACTATAGGATGAAGGGGGTCTTCCTGGTTCTAGTTGCCTCTCTTGGCCAGCTCCTAACAGTGCACACTGGCCAGCAAGCAGGGCACCTACTCAGCTGTGCTCCCTGGAACCTCAGCATAGACATACTGGGAACTTCCAGCAAGTTCTGTGGAACAGCATCATCCCATGAATGGGTTCCCACTGAGTTCCACAGAATGACACCTCCTCATGGACCCACTCAGAAAGTGGCTTTCCTGACATGCCACCTTAGTGAACTTCTCAGGCATCCACTGGGCCACAGCTATGTCCTCTCCAAGAAGATCTGGATCCCTTGAAGGAGGTTGCAGGGTGGGAGTAGGGGATATTCTAAAATTTATTCTTTCCTTAGGTGCTCTGCTTCAGATCTAGAGGGAGTGGTCACTCCCTATATCTACTCTTCAATCTTTAGAGCTCTTTTTTACCCCTTAGTAGACAATCATGGTTAATTCTTTGCATTAACCTTTTCCTGCTCAAAATACTGTGTAGCTTCTATTTCCTAATTGGATCCTGACTGATACAGACAGATCTAAGCTCTAATTCTTAAACCACCATTAACAAGCTGTGAAATATTAGACAGATCCATTTATTTCCAGGTTATAACATTGACCTTTATTATTATTACGATTAAGTGATATGAGATATGAAACATTTATAGCACCCCACCTATAATGAGTCTAGATGAATGTGTTATTAGTTTTCATCCAGTACTGTTTCAATAATAATAAAAACTAGGAGAGAGTCAAAAAGTGATAAACAATTGCATCTTTCAATTACAAAATCTTAGAGACTTTTCTGCCCCTTTTTAAGAAGGAAAGTTCAAAATTATTCCTAACTAAAAAAATCAGGTATCTCCACATGTGCTCAGATATGTGAATAGATATTGTGTGTCTGTGTGTGTGTGTGTGTGTGTGTGTGTGTGTGTGTGTGTGAGTGTATATTTCTAAATCTTCCTTTTGATTTGTCAACAGATGAAAGGAAGCTAGAACTATCATCAGGTAGGGATGGAGAGTAATCCTGCTTCACTTTTTTTATCCAGTCACACTTCAAGAAGCTGAGCAGGAGAGACAGTCAGGGTGTAGAGGTCTTTTGAGTTGTAAAGGAAGCTAAGGATACAGCGTTACCTTATGAGAAATCATGTTGCTTTGCAATCCTGAATTTTTTCATGACTCACAAAATAAGGAGACAAAATAGATAAGAGTTCTCTCTCTGAAACCACTCAGAAAAAAAGGAAATAGGAAAAACTAGCAATAATAACAGCTATTCAGTGTAAAAGGATCACGCTGCACTCAAAGTTCCTCCTTTCCTCAACATTCATGTCTTTCTAATTATTTTAGCTTTAAAAAAAGATGTGTAGTAACATTACTTTATAGGATTATGCTTATTAGTTTTAATAAAGCACTTTATTTTCCATAAAGGCAAATGTTGACATTTTGGGTAAAATAAAATGCTTACACTAAAATCCGAGTAGTGGTGAATGGAGAACTGCCGCTTTCTCCTACTGGCTTATTCTGATTGAAGACTAAGCACAACACACATGAAGTTGGTGGAGTGGAATTTGTGAGGATAATTGGATACAATAATAACTGCAGGGACAGACACACACGGAAGATTTCCTGTACAGAGGCTTGCTAACACCACCATTCGCCATGAGGGAACACAAAGGGAGCTTTGGAGCTTAAGTAAACAATGCATTATGATTTTTCAAGGAGTATACTTTCCCTTATAATATCAAAGGTGATTACAAATAAGCGTTTCCACTTTAGAAAACATAACAGCTTGTAAAACCTATTCTCTCCTTTTTATTTTATTACATATGGCCTCCCAAGATAAAAACAGGAATTTAATTTTTGTTGGTGATACTGATCATTTTGGTTACTTCTAGAGAGAACACCTTCCTTTTAATACACTGCTAAGCCAATATTGCCATATTGGATTTACGTATAGTTGCACTGTCCACAAAACTCAAAAAAAATAAGAGTTTTTCTTTACCACTTCCTTGTCAAACCAGATATGAAAATAAAAATCTGAAGATCTTAGATTCAGCCACAGCCCACACAAAACTTCCATAACTCTCTTGCTCCCAGGTCCCCAAGTAGTCGATTACCTTCATTACAGGAGCAGCACTGATTGACAGCAGAGGCTGTGAAGCCGCCCTGCTTGGGTGGGAAGCTGAACCTGCCATTTCTGAGCTCTGTGAGCTGAAGTTAGCCAGTCTCTCTCTGGCTCAGGGTCACAGTAAAACTGTCCACATTATAGTGTTGTCGAAAGGACTTAAACGGGTTAATTTAAATAAAATCTTTAGAAGAACACCTAACCAACATTACTGAAGTGTTAGTTGTTACTATTATTAAGATACTATCCACTTAACAGATACTAGTAGAGCTTCTGTCCTATTTAGATAATGATGGTAGTTTCCGATCTCCTCCCCTGTCCCGCCTGGGCTATGGAGAGGTGGGTGGAAAGACTGACAATCATCCTGAATCACTGCCCTTTTTCACTCACTCCAACACTGTTTGGGATGCTTTGAGGGTCAGTGGTTCCTCCTGGATATTGATCAGAAGTTTTGATTCATCAGTTGCTCATGGACTACTAACTGGGGTTACAGTGGCCTTGTTATTAGCACTAATAAAAAGCATATTTTGTTGACTCTAAGACATTACAGATATTGACAACCACAAGTGTTTATTACTACTCAGAAATATAAGGGACTGGAAATTTGACTATGACATGTCATTGATTATAAGGTGTAGCTCAGGGGCGGAGCCAAGATGGCGGTGTGAGTAGGACAGTGGGAATCTCCTCCCAAAAACATATATATTTTTGAAAATAGAACAAATACAACTAATCCTAAAGAAAGACCAGAAGACACAGGACAACAGCCAGACTACATCCACACCTGCGAGAACCCAACGCCTGGTGAAAGGGGTAAGATACAAGCCCCGGCCCAGCAGGACCCGAGGCCCCTCACCCCAGCTCCCAGTGGGAGGAAAGGAGTCAGAGCAGGGAGGGAGAGGGAGCCCAGGACTGCTGAACACCCAGCCCCAGACATCCGCACCAGAGCGCAGACACAGTGTATGCGTGGGGTCCTGGATACTAGGGAAACAGGACACTAAGACCTTTGAGTGGGTCCTGAAGCTGGCACCCCTGTGACAAAGAAAAGCAAGTGCTTTTTGAAAGCCTTAAAGGGACAGGGACCCCACCGCTGGATGGAAGCATCCTGCGTCACAGTCCAGCAGCTGGAAATTCCAGGGAACTCCGGGCGCACTAACCCCCTAGGCAACA